TCGACGGACGACAGAACGGAGCGACTAGACGACGGCGACGGGACAGACGGGCGCGACAGACGACGGACGGAACGGACAGACGGGCCGACCAGACGGACGGACGGACGGGGACGGGGCGACAGACGGAGCGCGACAGACGACGGACGGCCGACAGACGACGGGGCCGACAGACGAAACGGACGGAGGAGAGACAGACGGGCCGACAGACGGACGGACGGACGGGGACGGACACGGACGACGACGGGCGCACAGACGAGACGGGCACGGACAGCGACAGACGGACGACGGACGACGACAGACGGACAGAGGACGAGACGGACGACGAGCGACGGCCGTCAGACGGACTCGGAAGAGACGAGACGGGACAGACGGACGACAGACGGAGAGCACGGGCGACAGACGGACGAGCGCAGAGGGCGAAGACGGCACGGACCGGCACGGCCGACAGACGGGCCGACAGCGGACGACGGACGGACGGGCGACAGACGGGCAGCGACGAGACGGACGGACGGACGGACGGGACGACGGACGACACGACGGACGGAGGACAGACGGGACAGACGGCGCGACAACGACGGAACGACGGACGGACAGACGGGCGACAGAGGAACGGACGGACGGACGAACAGACGGGCCGACAGACGGACGGACGGACGGAACGGACAGATCGGACCGACAGACGACGGAGCGGACGGACGGACAGACGGGGCCCGACAGACGGAACGACGGGAGGACGACAGACGGCGACAGACGGACGGGACGGACGGACGGACGGACGGGACTAGACGGACGGACGGACGGACGGACAGACGGGCCGACAGACGGACGGCGCGGCGACGACGACGGACAGACGGGCCGACAGAGACGGATCGGACGACGGAACGAAGACGACGGGCGACCAGACGGACGGACGACGGACGGACAGGACGGCCGACAGACGGACGACGGACGGGACGGACGACGGGCCGACAGACGACAGGACGGACGGAAGGACAGACGGGCCGACAGACGGACGGACGGACGGACGACAGACGGGCTGACAGACGAGGACGGACGGACGGACAGGACGGTGCACCGGAGACGGACGACGGACGAGATCGGCCGACAAGACGACGGACGGACGTGACGACCGAGGCGGGCCGACCAGAACGGACGGACGGACGGACGGACGGGGACAGAACGCCGACAGAGGACGACGGACGGACGGAAGCAGACGAACGGACGGCCGCAGACGACGGACGGACGCCGACGGGACGGACGGACGCGTGAGACGGGCGCGACAGGACGGAAGGAGACGGACGGACGGCGACAGATCGGACGGAACGGAGGGCACGGAAGCGGACGCGAGACGGACGGAGACGGACGCAGACGGGCGAGCAGGGGACGGACGGAGCGGACGGACGGATCGGGCGAACGGCGGAGACGGACGACGAGGAACGGCCGGACAGAGCGGCGGACGCGACGACGGACGAGCAAGACGAGAGCCGACAGACGGACAGCGACAGACGGACGGGACAGACGGCGCGACAGACGGACGGACGGACGGACGGGGCCGACAGACGGATCGACGGACGGACGGCCCGGACAGACGGACGGAAGGCCGGACGGCCGACAGACGGACGGAGGGACGCCCGTGTCCGCCCGTGTCCGCCCGTGTCCGCCCGTGTCCGCCCGTGTCCGCCCGTGTCCGCCCGTTCACACAACGCTAGCCGTTAAACCGTTAAGCCAATTTTCTCCAAAATTGATATACCCAGATCGTTCTGGCTGATGTCGCAGCTCTTTGAATTTGAAATTGATATTTTAATTTTAGTGGATACTTTACATAAAGCCCTTAGAACATTTTCAAACTTTTCAAAAAATTTGCGCCATCAATTTTGATGAAATTTAGTTGTTGAATAATCTAATGGACATTTAAGTAAATGGTACAGGTCTCATGTTGGTAGAAAACACCAATTTCTCGGCAATTGAAAAAAATCAAAATTCGTTTGGCGCCTTCCTTCAGCTATAATTATGAAGAACCATTTTTTTCTTAAAGAAAGTATTGGTAAAAAAACAGAAGTTTTCATAAGGTTATGTTGAATTTTTCGTAACTTCGAGTATTTTTTGAGTAATTGGGCGTCAAAGTTAGTCGCCCGCTCTGAGAATACCGCGCTTCTGGATCGTAATTTTAGGTGTTTTGAGACAGTTCGACGCTACGTAAGTTAGAATTTGCACATTATTTATATTTCATTTTATTATAATTAATATTTTTATTATTAAAATTATTATTATATTTATGTTATTTCATTTTAAACTGCGTTCTTTAATATTGTTAAGTGTGAAAACGAATAGAAGAGCGGTCATTGGTTGTTGTTACCGTTTGTTCTAACGCCACGCAGATGCATAATTACGGTTGCTTTTCGTTCGCAGAAATAAAAACACTTTCATGTATTTGTGGAATATTACAATGCTATAGTGTTTAATATTTAATATTATATATATTTCGATCTATTTGTTTTCCAACACTATCAGTATCGAATTTATGAATATTTAAATATTTTACTTTCTTGCATTCAGTTTATTTTTCGCACCAAACATTCTACGATATCAATGAGTTTTAGTGGTGGAGAAAGAGCTCGCAAAACATCTCGCAAACCTGAATTGAAGTTCGTGCCACTACGCACGTTATATTGTTGCAGATCCCCGAGTTCAGTCTCTGCCGCTGATGATGCGGCCGTTCACGGTGCTGGGGATGGTGGCAGCCTACGCACTGTTTGTGACGCGTCTGGGCCCCTGGATGATGCGCGACCGGAAGCCTTTTCAGCTGAAGACGACGCTCATCGTGTTCAACGTCCTGCAGATCTTCGCCAACGCCTACATCTTCTATATGGTGCGTCGCCTTTAATTGTCTCTAGATGCAACATCCAACACAATGTCAGCAGGAATAAAATGTAGCTCTTTTACGATATATATGAGTGTGTGTGTGTGTGTGTCAAAATTTTTGCTACGAATTGTAGACATGTAGAGGAATCGAAAATCGTTTTCCGTCGTAAAATTTCATAAAACTAAATTACATGAGGCATTTGCCTTCGATTAGAAGACAACTCTAATTCGACAGCTTTGGTTCTATGTATTGGTGGTCGGCAGATTAGTTCTAACGAAATTTTGCATATCATGTAAATTGGTAAACAGTATGATCTGCGACCCCTTCACATTGAAGTCTTTTATTGGATTGCATTAAAATTTGAACCCTTTGATAAAATAACAGAATCCCCTCTTCCCTGTCAGTCGCTAGCTGTTAAGCAGAATAATATATTTGAATAACAATAAGTTTTCATTACTGCATTAAGATTATGTTTTTCTACTTATTTCTCAGTTTTATATTTTCTCGTTTGTCAAAGTTATTTACCTTCCGTAGCCATTTTATGTGCTTTCTATCTGGGTTTACTGGATTGTTCAGGCCTACGTTTCGGCGTTTCATTCATACTATCAAAGGGCGCTGTTTACTTCGTTTCAACGATCATAAAGTGTGTCATACTGGGGAACTTCGTAAGACATTTTAACTTCCAAGGAATTAAAGTAAAACGTTTGTGAAGCTAGAAAATGTATGCAGTACAATGTATGCTGACACATATATGTTAGTCCACTTACTAACAATAACTTCTCGAAGGACCAGAATGATTTTGGTAGTGAACCTATACACTTTAGATTTCTGAAATAATGTTTACAATATTCCAGGTAGATTGCTATCATTCGGGGTAATTCAAAAGACAGCACGTTATTCAGGAAGCATTTAATTAGACTGGACAGTTAACCAGACTAATTAAATGTTTCGTAAATAAAGTCCTGTCGCAAATTAATTAGTTAAGCTGACACACAGATTGTAAGGGAGATTGGGCGGTAACTTGAAGGGGTTGTTCTGTCCTTTCCACCTTTAGGGAGTGGAATAACAGTGACTTCACGCCAAATCCTTGGTGCGGAATGTTTATCCCAAATCATATTGAAAATGCGGAAAGAAACGAACGGGCATTTTCCAGTAGGTGTTTAAGAATGGAGAACATGGACGGGAAAATTTTTGAGGATTTGTTTGGAAAAGTCATCTGGGGTGGTGATAGAAATATTATTCTCTCAATTATGAATAAAAAAGAAACAATGGACGTAATTCACTTTTTTTTAATTTTCCCAATGAGAGCAATAAACAAGAGACCTAGAAAAAACACAAGAATAACGAACATATAGGGCTGGCAGCAGCTCATTGATTGATTTGAATTATTTGGATTTAACAGCCAATAGAATCGCCAGGGGCAACATTTGTTTCTATCTATCGTATTCTATTCTATCTTCGCAGGTTCATTCGACACACACCTTGATTATGTATCTAGTCTGGTGGATCAGAATCGTTCGCAATAGCGAGGGCACAGGAAAATGCATCCATAGAGAAAGGAGCATTGTAATCTTCCTCCACGCGACTCGAAAAATCTAGCCTGCAGTTCTACACTCTTCCACTATCAGGGAACTCTGCTCCAACCACGAAAAGCATCCGCTATCGTACGTACCCCGAGGGTCAAGTCCAGAAAACTGCTTCCAACGAAATAGACTTCTCGATTTTATCTAGAAGTCAATCTTATCAATTTCATCTTCCTCGAGAATATAACTAAATCAGCGATTATCTATGAAGTAGAAGTTTTTTAAAGGAAAGACATAATTTAATTTAATGAATGATGTGAATTGAAAGTTAAAAGTGGATTCACAAAGAAAAACTTAAAATGTTTTTTACTTTTCATGACAGTATCAAGAAAGGTATGTCATATAAGTAGTAAATAAGGGTATTTGGTAATAGTATATCTGTTGTGTTCATGAAAGACTTTCCATCTTTCCTTTCTGTATTTTGTAAAAGTGAAAAGAAACATAACTAAGCAAATTTCTAATGTGTATGACTATTTTTCGAGTGTTTCTAACTGATTACAGGAACTAATATTGTTTATATACGATGTTATTGAATCACTATCCAATTACACAGGCCTACAAAATGAAATTTGTTGCAATCATCAGAAATAGAAACTCTTTTAGAAACTTCTTCGTATTATAACACAGGTTACGATTTTGCATTCAGTTTTGCGCCATCGCCTATAATTTTTCTACAATAGCGAATCCATTTATTACATTAAAAATTGGCCATATTCTATTTCCTTTCAAATTGTGACAGTAAAGGGAGTTTAGAAACTGCAACTTAAGTGACATTCTACATCGCAGTTTTTGAAATGTACTAAAAAATATTTGATTCTGTTACCACAATCAGAAAATGGTTTTTTCCCAAGAAACGATCACACACCTACTGAAGACTTGTCAAGACTTCTTGCCCTTATGGAGTTGCCAATTTGTGTGATCGCATCTTCTTTTCAAATCCCTAAGATTTGGGGACCCCGTACGATTCATTCCTTCTTTTTTGATGTGACGATGTTGGGAAATTTCTCACTTAAACTCAGAAATGTTGCAGAGGAAACTTTCCTGTGTTTATGTCACATAAGCACAGGAATGTTCCAGAGGAATGTTCCATGTTGCCTCACACATCATCTTCACCACTCAATTAATCCAATTTTGAATAATTAACCCATCACCAAACAATTAATCCAAGATTGACATGAAGAGTAGGGTCAAATATGTTGAATCAAACGTTGAAAAATGGTTTGAATTACTTTTACATTTTCGAGGCATTTCGAATGCAATTTTAATAGCAAACGGAAATTGAGCAAAGGACACCCGGTCTCCCGCACGCCACAGGAACACTGCTCTATATCAATATTGTATATCTAAGCGAGATTAGAAAAAGTTCCATTTACAACATTTGACTCTCCAGCGAATTCAGACACCTATATACGTGTCACCTATATACGATGATTTTTCATAGTTGACCTGTGTTATTGGTATAATAGTTTTAACGCAAATGTTTTAAAATTAATTTACTTGCCATCATTGTACCTATCGGTGACAGAAACCTCGTCATAACCGACCTTTTTTCTTTAAAGACTCACTTAAGGGGTCTAAGTATGCAAATAGGCATTAAAATATAATATATATTATATAATATTAAATTTTGATGATAATGTGAGAGGAAAGGAAGCGGCTATTACATAAGGAGTATTCTTAACATTTTTATTTTTAACAATTATTTTTTATTGTATACCACATTGATAATTTGATGAAATTTTCAGTTTGGATCTCAATTTTGGTTTACGACCTACAGTTGGCGGTGCGAACCCATTGACACTTCGAATTCACCCAGTGCCCTAGAGGTAAAATATCATACATTCTATTAATCATTTCTTCTTATTAATATATTTTAAGTGTATGTGACCATGTTATGTTCTACTTTATGCATACTTTCTTATTGTGGGTCACTTCACATTATTTATGTTTATCTACCTACGTGAAGCAGAAACGGTGCGGCTTAGATTAATGACAAATACTTACTAGTACTATTTTCCTTTTCTATTTAGTCTGCGCCAGCGGGTCTGTTTTGCTCAATCCTCTCACCCAATTACTATTTATCGGCGCTTCAAATATATTTCTCATCATATTTTTTTCAATTTTCGTTACCCTACAAGTAGAATAGAAATATGATTAAGAATTTGGCCGAAGAGTAAAACATGGCCCTGTATGCCAATTTGAGTTGAAAAATTTGGAGACATTTTAAGAAAATTTCTTTTGAGCATTTCTGTACCATATTGAGCTCAATTTCACAGAAAAGGTTTGATTTTTCCAGGAACTTCATAAGAAATCATATGAAAAGATTGCACTTACTGATGCAATAACGTACTGCTATAGAAAAGTCTACTAAAGAAAAAGTTGGAAACTGGCACTAGTCTCATTTCCGGCGAACTCTGTATGTTCTAAAATTGCAAACATTAACTTTTAAAAATTATGAAATTGAAGTCTTAGATTTTCCCTTAAAGTAAATATGTACGAAAAATCAGCCCTTCAAAAAAGCCATGAACAATTTTTTCAATAAACGAGTAATTTTTGGTAATTTTTGCCCGAAATAGCAATTTATAACAAAACGTATTTTATTAAATTACATTCCAATCTTTTCACGGATAGAACGTGAAACTCATTAAAGAATGGCGTATGTCTAATTTTCGTTGAACTCTACGTTCAAAAAATTGAAAATATAGAAATAATGCCAGAAACTAAATGCTGTTGTGATATCACAATTTTTAAGTTGTCATTCCGACGGTCCCTTTCCGTTGATTCAGAACTACCGGATTTCTAGAGTTGAAGAGCAAGATAATTGAAATAGTGTAATAGCCGGCGAAAATAATTTAAAGTGTAGTAAATATATTTTTGACAGAAATGAATAAAATCATTTATGGTCTTTTACAAACAAAATTATTTTTTTAATATAAAGAATTGATTGATGCCAGAAAGAGTCAATATTTTCCAAGACATACTAGGTTAGCGGAAGGATCTTAAGATTAGGAGAAGTATTTCCGACAAAATTTAAAAAATTGGTAAGTGAACGACCACCAACCACTTCTGTAACTTAAGTTGATATTGCGCAGAAAAGCAGAGATTTTTGAATTTTAAAATATCTACATGGAATGTTTTTAGAAATTCAAAGTCTTTACAGATGATCCGGCTGGTGAATCTTTACTTCTGGTTGAAGATTGCCGATTTATTGGACACCATATTTTTCGTTCTTCGCAAGAAAAACAACCAAATCACTTTCCTGCACTTGTATCACCATAGTAATATGGTGTTTCTCAGCTGGGGCGGGTTGAAATATTTTCCAGGTAATATTTTAAAAATGTTTTGCTGTAAGACAAATCAGGCAAAGAAAGGTCAGAGTGACACTAAGAACTAAAATAAATTATTAAATTAATATTTTACTTTATAATGGACTGTTTTATAAAATTAGAATACATTTATTGATAGTTAATTTGTAATTACTGATGAATATTTACGATTATATTAATCACAAAATGAAAAAATATATTTTCAATTACAGAGTAAATATTACTATCTAATCAACTACATCACTAAATTTTACTGTTTAAAAAGTAATGTAAAATTATATATAATGAATCATTAACATTTAAAACTAATATATCGGTAAGAAAATTCTTTGTAAATATAAATAAACTAAGAAAAAATTAATGGTAATTAATTAAGTGGTTTTCCGCAACTTTATACGTCTACCAAAAATTATTTCCTTAGACAATTGTACAAAGAAACAAAAAAATATTGTAATTCCGACATTTTGGAACAACTGTTCTCTAGTAGACACAAACTACGTTTATGAATGTATTATATTTACTAAGCCAACAATATTATTTGAGCAAGTCGATTATTGAAGTCGATTGTTCCCGTCTATTACGATTCCCCTCCAGCGGTCACATACCATGGGGGGAGAGATCAACGATGGGCCCAGCAGAGCGTTTGTTTTTTTGTTTAAGTTAGGTCCAATAAAGTCGGGTCGCGTCGCGTCGCGTCGTGTCGTGTCGTGTCGTGTCGTGTCGTGTCGTGTCGTGTCGTGTCGTGTCGTGTCGTGTCGTGTCGTATCGTGTCGTGTCGTATCGTATCGTGTCGTGACGCGACGTGTCGCGTCGCGTCGCGCCGCGTCGGGTTAAGTTAGCTGTTGCAGTTTCATCAGTTGGAAGTTTTTCAATTAAAATCTCTCCTCTATGAGTAGTAGTTTCGTCTTTCCAGGGTTATCACATGTTTTAAAAAAATTAAAATCGGTGCCAAGCGTAATCATTTCGTACTAACATTGATGTTTTCTTACGCCCAGGCCTGGTCATAAACATGATGCAATCCTATTTTAGTATCTATTTCTTTCAAGACACGTGTTCAGAGTAGTGAATGTTGAAGTAATTCTGAAAACAAAGGCTGTGTCATCTGTTTCCTCGTGGAGAACACAGGGGGTACAGAAAATGATCAATATACACCGGCGGGAAAAAGTATTGCAACACCCCGAGTAATTGTACCATTTGTTCCTCCGTATAGATACAATACTTGCAGAGAGAATACTACACATGATTACATGGTGAGAGCCATGCGAGACTCACACGTCCATCAACAGAGAGAACCACGGAACGGGAACGCCACATAATGGCTGGGCGAACATGCCTCGCACGACAAGCCTTGAAGCGGGCTGGCATCCCATCGTACAAGTGGCGAACAGTGTCCTGCGGTACACTGTTCCACGCCACACGCTCCGCCTCACGAAGAGCAGGCAGACTTGGGGGAGTCTGACGACGGGTCAAGCGTTGGCGCATCCAGTCCCACACACGCGCTCAATCGGAGACAAATCCGGTGAACGAGCCGGCCAGGGCAGTTGACGAACATCGCCGAGACCGTGATGCATAGGGCAGGCGTTTTCCTGCTGGAGCAGTGCATCACCCTCCAGTTGCAAGAAAGGTATCAGCAGGCGGTACAACGATCTGGATGTATCCAGCGCTGGTCAATGATCCCGCCACAAACACCAGAGACGTTTGCGCGTTGTAGCTGACGGCACCCCACACCATCGCTCACGTGGTGGACCCTATGTGACGTGGACGAACAAACAACCAGATGCACGCTCATGCCTGTGCCACGCCGTAACGCTCACGACCGTCAATTATGCTCAGGCAGAAGCGACCGTTGTCACAGAACACCACTGCACGCCATTCCGTCTCCCAGTTCACCCGCACATTGCACCACGCCAGGCGTGCCCGAAGATGGTTTGGCGTGAGTGGCAGTCGGTCTAGCGGTATGCGTGATTGTAATCATGCAGCAAGTAGCCGATTCCCTACGGTGAGTGGAGGCACGTTGGGGGCAAATGTGCCTGTATTTCGGCGAGGGTAGCCGTACGGTCTGCAAACACCGCCCTTAAAGTGCGTCGATCTTTACGTTCGTTAGTGCTCCGCAGTCACCCCGAATTGGGCCTACTGCTTTGGAAATGGTTGTCTACCCACCGTCGCCAGCACCACAGCATCGACGGCGCATGACGACCCACGTGGCCGGGAAGGCGCCGAAAGATCTACCCGGCTTCACGCAATCTCACAACCCGAACCCGCTGTAACTGGTCCAATTGCTTAAAGAACGAACGGGTGCCACTCCGTAGTATACGTAACTCCGGACGAGTAGATTACACCTCTGGGAGATTTCGTCACGCTGCCATTACGTCACCGGACGTCAGTCATCCGTGTAATGTTAATCACGGCTTCTACGACCCCCATCCCTAAGTTCCCTTATCGACTACTTGATTGCTCGTACCGTCTTCGCCATTGCATTACTTATCTGAATATATTATATATTATTTATAATCTGTGACTTCACGCTCGCAACCGGGGGGTGAGGACACACATTTTCTTTGTTTTCCCGCTCCCGAGTAAGAATGGCATCCAGGTTCTTCTCCTGCCTAAAGTCACCACAAAGTCCAGTCAGAATGATTTACTTTTTTGTAAAAAGAGAAACAACAACCAACATTTACTTTCCCCTTAAGGAACTAGAAAACCAATAAAAAACAACTACAACCAATAAACAAGACAATGCTGGAGTGCTCCAAAGTCACCTTCGCCCTGCATCGAGAAGGGCGTTAGTGACGCGACGGGCAGTCTGTGAGGTGGCGGGGGGGGGGGGGCTGCTTAAAGTGGCGCCCAGTTGGGCGGCTTCTCCTCGTTACGAACACTGGCGGCGCCCTGAACGCTGCGCCGAGGGTGAGTTAAGGTAAAGGCCCATTCACAATAAAAACATAAACATAAGAATGGCGTTAGCATAAAAGTTAGGTCTATGTCCATAAGCGGATTATTTTACAATGCGTCCGCATAAGCACACAACCTAATATGTTAACTTCCAAGATTCAAGCTTCTGTGCTTATGCTTAAGTAAAACAAAAAATGAACCAATCACAGTACGTTAACTGAAAATCGATAATCGAAAGAGAAGCGAAGTCGATAGACGAACCAATGCTTTTTGGGCCATGGATACAGTGAATGCCTCGAAAACGATTCTTACATGCAAGCAATAGATGAATTATTGAATTTATGCCTTATTTTACGTGGCGAGACTCGGGCCATCAGTCTTGCTCTTCCGTCTGACCACGTCAATGTCGCTACGTTCCTTTCACAGATAGGGGAGAAAGGAGGTATTCCTTGGGCGACGAACAGGCGTTTTGAATTTAGCTCAGCGGCGTCATTTAGACTTGAGGATCTTTTACATGCAAATAAATCTACTAACATGGGACAGCCGGCTTTACTTCCCCTCCGAAGGGAGGTGTACGAAGCGTCGATAGGGTTTGAACTCGCCAACTTGGTATAACAGTCCGATAGGCAAACCATACACCATCACCGCTCCCGCTAGTAAACTAGATTGTCTCAGAGCCAATAGAAAGTCTTATTTTGTTTACGTTTATGTTAGACATTGTGAATACTTCAGTCTATCACTTATGTTAATGTTTATGTCTATGCGTTATGCCTATGTTTACGTTTGCATTGAGAATGGGCCTTGCATTGAGAACAGGTGGCCCGACCTCCCCGTGGCGTTGTGTAGCGAGGGGTTAGCGCGGGCGGCACCTGGGAGGTCACTTGAAAACATCTGTTATATTTTGGAATGTTGGACGAGATGTGTTTAGAATCATTTACCTCCCCAGAAAATAATGATCGTATTGGATCTGGTGGTGGCACAAATTGTGGCAATTTTACTTTTCCTGTAGCACAACATAATCCAGTAGATTCACTAACTTTTTTCACGCCTCACAATATTGACAAATGATTTTAATTTCCACAATTGTTTCTGATTTGTTGGCACAATAATCTATTTCTTGGTCACAGTTTAACATTGCTCGTTCCGGGACTACAAGAGGACTGCGTCTGCGGAATCGCTCAATTTCGTTGTGTTGTTCTCGTTGTTGTTCTGTTTGATGTGGACGAACTCGTAGCATTCTAAGCCTCTTCGCTTCATTTTCATTTACTCTAGAACCCAATTCTGCCATACCAATACGACTATTATTATTATTATTATTATTATTATTATTATTATTATTATTATTACTATTATTATTACTATTATTATTACTCTTATTATAATAATTATTATTATTTGTCTCTCACTAATCACCAGTATGGTTTGCACATAATGTGTCTCGTTACACATTTGATTGTGATCCACGATCTATACTCGGTCGTCTTCCGCTTGGCATTGTAAATAATCAAAGAAAAGAATGTTCTCGCGCACATTGTGGGAAATAGTGTTACTATCACACCCAGGGTTAGAAAGAGATGTCAAGGTACATATACAAATGACTGTCTGAACATAAACAATAAACAGTTAATTAATAATTCAATTATTTAGTTAATAAACTTTTAACGTTTAGTTAGTGTCTTCATTAAAGACAGATTAATTTCCGAACGACGGGACGGCCAGCAGGTTTTTCCCTAAACAGTGATATCCCACCAGGAGGCACTCTCCAGCCGAGACAAGCTCTTAGCTTCCGACCGAGGCCCCAGATTTCTGGTAGAGTAGTGCTTATAAGTGTAAGTGTGTGGACGTAAGGAATGAAGATAGAACCAGCAAGGGGAAGGAAAGATCGCGCGTGGTCCCTGGTCCGATTGTTAGTGTACTGTTTCGGTATTCGTCTGGTGTTCATCGGAGATCGGAAGCTACCGATCATAGCATCCATCCGCTAGATTGTCCTTCAGACAGCGGCTGAATTCCTAGCTAGTGTGGATAACCCTGTCTCTGCGGGGACTCAAACTCTAGGACCTCCCGGTAAGAAGCACTGCAGAGCCATCATTTGATGCCCTGAGCCATCTAAACACGTGTGTCTGAATGGAATAGATATGCGAAAGCTTAGTAAAGTTTTGAAAGCGTTATTGTAAAAAATTCAATTCACAATAATAAAATTTTGATACACTGATATATTAAAACTTGTCACACATTACTTACTTTATCTTCATCACTTTTCACGTGAAACAATATCAAACCAGACTGATAAAGCTCAATCCATGAACTCAGTTTCTTAAATATTAAAATAATCTTTGAACTTTCTCATATTGTATTGTATTTTATAGGAGGCCACGGAACATTTTTGGGTTTAATCAACACATTTGTACATACTTGTATGTACACCTACTACCTCATCTCGGTTATATATCCTCATAATGTCTGGTGGAAGAAGTACGTGACACAGCTGCAACTGGTAAGTAGCTCTATCTCACCGCCAACTGTCAGCATCAGTGTCAGTCATTTAAATGATTGTAGCATATCCTGGCGCCTCCGGAACGGGTTTTTTCATGACGACAGATTTTGTTTGTGTGGTGCACATTCATATTAAATTCAACATATTCAATGAAAATTTTTCAACATTTGCCGATATATTTCCTTTTTTTTTAAAACGCGACTCCCTCTTTTTGATTTAAAGCTGTTGTTGAATAGTGTGAAAAACATATGCAAAGTGCATGTCTCATATTCGTTGAAACAATATTTCGAAAAAGTGAAATAATTCAAAATTTTTTCCGCGCCTTCCTACAACTAAAACTATAAAGATAACATTATTTTAATGAAATGTATTCGTAAAAAAATGACCTAAAAATAATGCCATGATCAATTTTTCATAAATACAAGTTGCGCAAAATTTTGTGTTACACTGAGGCAATTTTTATTTTCTTTAAACAATTTTTTCTTAAAAATGGCAAAACGTTTACTCTCACGTTCTCTACTCTACTCTCACGTTCGTTTAAATGCCTGATTTAAAAAAATACAAACTATTAAAAAAAATTGGTGTCCTCCTACAACTACAAGTATTGTGAAGATACAATTTTTGGATTAAAGAAAAGTATTTATTAAAAACAGATCCTCAAATGAGGCCACGTTTAAGTTTTCAAAAATATTTTTTAGTTTTAGTTTTCAAAAATAAAATATGAGTATTTTGTGAGTAATTTGGCGTCATACTCAGTTGCGCGATCCGAAAGGATTTATGGACAATTAGCAACTGGACCTACTCATTTTTTTTTATACCAGGACCAGGCAATACATGTTTTCAGCTAAAAATTTGCTGCTTTTCTTCGCAACATTACATGGCTTTCCCTCTAGGGCGTAAGAGCTAGCGAGAAAGAAAAAAAACATGCAAACCATTCCAAGGGTAATACTATTTTTCATGCAATTTCTAGCTTTTTAATCTAAAATACGTGATTTACAAAATTAAACGTCATTTTAAACTTTATGAATAGACCATTTCTTTGGTTATTCCTATTTAGACTAGAGTATATGGCACCGAAAGCATTGGCGATCTCTTTTTCTGTCGATTTAGTTTTTCTAAAACTATATTGATTTATACTTTAAAAGTATTTTATTAAGGTATCATATGAGTGTAATGTTTATAAAGATTTCTATTATTTTTGACAAAGTTCATAGTACATTTATCGGTCATAGATTATTCAATTTAATTGAGTTATTTTTCTTAAAAATAGAAACTACAGTACTTGATTGTAATTTTTCAGGAAACATTTCGAAGTTGAAATGTAAATTAATTAGTGAGTTAAAGCCGTTCACTACTTAACAATTGAAACATTTATTGAATCAAAACCAGCTGAAGGAGTATTTTTAAAATTATGTATAAATCTTTGTACCTTAATTTCAGTCCCGGTAAACTATCATGAAAGCAATGAAAATCTGTCGAGAATGTAATGAATTTACTTTAATTCGGAAAACCAGTTTAAGATAAATCTACAGCGTTTGAGCATTACATGTAGTGACCTAAAAGTCCAAAAACCTGTTTTTTCTAGAATTCATGTAAATTGATGATAGAGACTTTTACTTTAAAATGATCAACTTTTCAAAAAAGATCATGTAGAATTCTTTGAATAAACGAGTGTTTTTCACATAATTTGTGTTTGAAATTAATGCACTTTTGTATTAAAAAGTCTCAAAACCGGCCAATTTTTTTTCATTTTACCCCATGAATACAAGGTACCCTCAAAAATCAGGTCTTAATTTCGTTAAACCCTCATGATTTTCTAAAATTTGCAATTTTTGAAATAATACGAGAAAGTACGTAATTTTGGGGCACCTATAGTTTCTTTGGACAAATTCCATATATGCAAGCCCTCGTAAAACTTGTCGTCTCTCGCGAGTTTGTAACCTCCCTGTGCCAACTCCACTTTTAGAGAGATTTATCTTAAGTGTTGAATTAACAAACAAGTTGAATAACCATTATTTAAAAAACGTACAAACCAGTTTTGATAAGGATAAAATAATTTGTAATATATAAATAAAAACTTTTTTTCCACTCTGTTCCATTCCCAATAGTCGCGAGATAGCCAGGAGAGATGCAACGACGACGCGAAGCAGCCTTTTGTCAGCTACGTATGGGGCGACCTGCTATTGTGTGGCGATGTGGCACGGCCAGTAATCGAGAACCTGTTGTGAACACCAACTAGTAGTGCATTTCTTTCACGCGACAAATAACATATGATCCGATAACATTTCTTTGAAAAAAAAAATAGTTGCCACGACTTTGCACCAACCTTTGTACACGCAGAAATTACTAGTATTTTGAAAATCAAAATTTCTCCACAGGTTCAGCAGATTGTGGTGGGGCTGCATCTGGGGCAGCTGTTCGTGTCCAATCCATGCAACTTCCCGATGTTGGGGCCGACTGTTCTGGTGCCGCAGACCATTTTTCTCGTCCTCCTCTTCTCGCACTTCTATCAGCGCGCGTACGGCCGGAAGGCGGCGCAGGACACTAAAGCCAAGGCCTCCTAGAGAGGGAGCGCGGCACTAGTGAAATCGGCTGAAGCGAACTCCTGCATTCATGGACTTGTTTTGTAGGAACCAATTGATGTTACCGTTTAATCGTGTTCCCTCTATTAAGCAGTCATCTCTATTCGTGGCCAGCATCCAGGTTCATTTTGAAGACTGACAGGCAACAGACAATCTCATCTTCCAGACAAATTTGTGTTTTCGATACGTAACCATGAGAGAAGCGGATGATTACAGTTCTCGCTGGGCGTTAATGATCAATGCGCGCATAAGACAGAAAATCGGCAGGCACAAGTCGCTGCTTAATGAGTATGATGAAAATATGGAGAGCGGACGTCCGGTCAGTTGTTGTTTGCAAATTAAGAAAAATGTGCTTTGGAAGTCGCACATTCTAATTACTATTAAAATACAAAATACTGGGTACTGTATACGTGTACACTTAAAACTACTGGTGTTACAACTCGCACACATTATAATATAGATAGTATAATAGTATAATTGAAGACTTGAAGTAAAAATGGATGAAAGTGTCATTTCTGTAAAATTTCCGTTTTAGTAGAATAATATGAATGAAACAAGCCCTACAAATAATTAAGAACTAAATTTCAGACGCAATCCTTAATAGTGTTATGGGGTGATTTAGGTGACAGGAAATGTAAGTGCTAATAATTTTAATGTATTAGCTCATACACTTTGTTATAGAACATCGCGGCATCATGTTATAGAACATAACACAACACATAACATAATATAACACATGCACCAAACATAAGGTAAAGGTGCTAGCGCTCAGAAATGTCAGTTTAATGTATTAAAGAAAATTGCATTATGAGGACTGGCTGCTTGAAAATGTTGTGTTTACTGGTGTTCGTGAGGTCAAACTTTGTACTACACCTGCACATTGTAATAATAACGTTTCCAAACGAAGTCAGAATGATGAAGGAAAGTCACATGATGAAAATAATTTGCTAAATGGAGACGAATACGCCAGTAAAATCAACAGGCGTTGTTCCAGCTAAAAAAAACGCCGAAGGCACTTTTGAGCTGTAAGTATAAGAGTTGTAGATCCTTATCTCACTTGCAAAGCAATCAGTTGTTTCAATATATGTACGAGAATAAAGTAGATCATGGTAAGTAACAGAGTTATTTACTAGGTCTCATGTCAGTAAAACCTGTCTGTTGGTGATTAGCTGAGATTGCTGTAGCTGTGGGCAAACATAAAACTTCGTTCCAAGAGAAATTGAATCGCCATCATTTGAAAGCGGATTAAGTCACATCAGAGATAAAGATAGACTTTACAAAGAGACTCAGAGTTGCAATACAAAGGAGCGTGCCTTCGCTGTGGACTTTCAACAAGTTTTTTTTAACACACTATCAGATGTTCTAGGCACAACAGCTGTCCGTTTATAATCTTTGAACACAGTTCCACGATTGCAAAAGTGTGATGAGTCTTTAACATGAAGCAAAATCTGACATGGGCAAGCGGCAACCAAATTAAAATATTTTGTATTCCAAGTTATTAATGATGTGTGCGTTGCTAGAAAGTGTTTAAGAGTTACTGTTTATATATATATATATATATATATATATATATATATATATATATATATTACGAGAGACATGAACAAATTAATCACAAATTGTGCGTCATAACTAATTGTGCCAGCAGATTTAAAACCTATCATGGTGTAAAGCAGAAGCTCGTTACTGTGAATGTCGTGTAGAAAAACAACTTCTTTGCCTTTTGGCAAGATGATGAGCAATTTCTTTGTCTACCATATTATAAATATCTAAAGGAAATGGCTGAAAGTTTCTATTACAGCGCTTTGTGTAGTTCAACTTAGGTAAAGGAAAGAGTCGAGAAGAAAAAAATCTAAGTTAATCAGGTATTAGTATCATAAATTGATGATTAAAACAGTGTATTATTATTATTATTATTATTATTATTATTATTATTCAAAAACCTTTAATAGGGTGGGTAAATTCCATTGAAACAATTTTGTTTTGTTCTGTTCAATTTTTATTATTCATGAGATTTATGTTATATATTTTTATTTGTTCAGCATAGAAATTTGTCAATGAATGTTTATGTAATCGATGTTAAACAATAATTGAGCATTCTATTCACATAAATGGTCAAGGTTTTCCGAATGGAGACATTTAAAAAGTACTAAATCATGTCCTGAGAAATTGTGAATGCATAAGCTATGTGGTGTATCGAGAGGGAGTCGGGCAAATTTATAGCATAATGTTTCGGTACATCACAGTTCCGACCACTGAGGGGGACAGGTGGCTGAAGAGTAAAGGAATATTTACGCTATTTTTGTGCGAAAATCGATGAGTTTCCTGAAACAGGCCAAAGATGGAGCTGGCATTACATTCAAGGTGGCCGTTTCAACAGTTTTTACAGTATTTTCATTTATCTTTGCACCTTGCTGAGCGTAGATTTAATGGCGGCCTGTGCTAAATGGCGTTTTTATCTTTGCCAATAATATCCCTCAATCTTGAACAAAAGCTTTAAACGAACACTTTAGTGCCCCTTTTGTATTGAAGGAATTAAAACATGTCTTTTACATACGATGTCATACAATGTACCTTAACGTAAGCACGAAACTAGAGGATTACTTTGATACTCGATGCAACGGTTTCACAATGTCTCCGCTCCACGCAATGGACAACCTCGCCAGAAGAATAGACCAATAAACGTGACTGTGGAACTTTAATGTGATATACGATTAAGTGCGTATTGAAAACACCAATTAAAGTACGTTTGTTATGGTTATTTTTATTAATGTTTTCCCTTGTTATTTCTCCTTCGTCATCTTCCATTTCAGGTTAAAATTATTCACTTGTTTTGATAATTCTGCAGGATTCTGCACCCCTATCACCAAAGGAAAAGTGAAGGCGAGTTTTTTGCTTCCTTCCGCGTCTCTAACCCTCACGAGCTCGGGAATTTTTAATTCAAAGTCGTCCCGGCAGCTGAAGCAGAAGTAATTCTTTTTTGGCTTCCGTTTTTTGATATCCGCGTGAGCATCCTGGTTCACCCGCGTGTTGCTGTTTCGGGCCGCCCCATCAGCCGTCATGCATTAACCATTCGTTCTTCATATTTTCGTGTAGCTTAGGAGCATTTGCGCGTCCACTTGGAAAGCGGCAATCCCTAGCACCTTGCCTTCCGCCGGGAACTCAATGCAGCTGGCAACACCGACAAGCTTTCCATATGGAATTTAGTAGAGCTACCTAAGTGCGGCTATGGTATTTCCGCCGGCTAATTAACAACTGTCAAGTAGGGGGCTTGCAGGCTACGTTAGTGCACAGTCAATTACACCTTTTTTCTTTTCCCTGCACCCTTAGCCCCACAATGCATTCCATCCGCTGATCATCCTAAAGGGTCTTGATACGGTGCGCCCTCAGGTCCCTCAACATTCCTCTGTCTAGTTTTGCTCTCGATAATCCGCTGAGGTAGTCTGAGCCCTTCTCAGCCACATCCGCGTTCTCTAGAGGCCGTCGTGGTCCTTGGTCGTCTAGACGGCGCTCTGGTATTTGGATCCTCAGCGAAGTGATGGTTAATGATAGCACAGGGTAGAGAATGATTGATGAAAAACCCCGTTGGTGGCAGCGGAAACGGAAGTACCCCCAGAAACCTGCCGCGAACCCGCTTTGAGCACCACTTGCAATTCCACTTGCAACCGCCTGGGATCGAACCCCGGGTCCAGCGCTGGAAGGCGTGAGGTCTGACCACTACACCATGGGCTACACTTCTAGGAAGGTAATAATTTCTCACCGAATACGCGGAATTTGAGGATTCAGGAGGTGAATAAACGATTGGCAGGTTGCCACAACTGTGAAGAATGGATGGATTTCGTGGTTGAGAAAGCCACAATCAGAATGCCTGCGATCATTATTCGGGGTTTAATTAAATCAAAAGTTAGTGACTTTTGATCTGTAAAATTTATTTACTAATATTTACCCTAATGAACTCCAAGCTTAGCGTATTGGAACCATTATACAAACCGAAAGTAGTGCTGCCAGAAGCAACCACCGCCTTCTCTTCAGATCTCTGTAAGCTCTGTAATCGAATAATCTCGTTAGCATCATAAACGTTACAAGAGTACGCCTTTCGTCTACCTCGTAATTGTTCCATAAATAATTTTATATTTTCCTTTATGAGCTTTTCAAAATCTTTTTCATAGTAAATCTCGCTCCGAATTCCAAGTCAGTCTGTTTTCCACACGTTCAGGAACACTTTTCAAAGGAAGAGAGATCGGCGAAGGCATCGCCAGGTCCGAGCTCCGTACAACCCAGGGCCCTATAACTCCCATATAACGTGGTGGGGACCAATACAGTGGCGCGCTCCAGAGTATCACCCTCTGACACGAACTAAAATACGAACTGCTACCAACGTTATTTAAAACGTGCGTGGGTACAAAGGATCGCGCCGCTGTTCGCGCTACCTTTTCTTTCATGTATTATTATGAATAAATGAATTTTAGCAGATAAACACATAGTATTTAACTTATTTTGTAATTTTTTAGAAATCGCTCATAATCAAAGTGTATTCGTATTACTTGACCAATTTTTATGTGCGAAAGTTGACGAGCCTTACCAGCAGCTGTATCCAGCGACACTTGCGCATCCTATAGTAGCAACCTCTAGCTTGGTCCGCAATTTGATGGAGAGTTGCCGGGTCCTGAAACAACCCCTCCCGATTCCCTGTTCAAAGCCTCCGACGCTCCACAGCGCGTCAAGATTGCGGTCTCCTCCTCCAAGTGCCACGCGCCGTCACTCCACTGCGGTGCAAAATCTAAGTGTTGACATACGAACGAGTTGCCTTTCATTCTCTGGACTGAGACGCTTCCACTGGCTATGGCAGAGCTGTCGCAATATTACGAAATCAAATCTATCGTACTTAGAGAAAACAGACTTCTTCAAACTACTTGAGTAATGTGTAACAATAATTTTTGACATTTAACAACAAATTCTATTCTCAAACTGAAGGAATAGCTATGGGCTCAAACGTTTCCTCCTTTTTCGCTGAGCTGTTCATGGAGCATTTTAAGGAAAACATTTAGTAGCTTGAACCCTTTCATCAGAATAATTATTTATTATTAGAGGTATGTCGACGATTATATGTCTTTGGTCAGAACTTCTAAGCAATTGAGCTAGTCCATTCATTAATTTCATACCAAATTAAAATTCTCTATGGAAATTGAACATAACCTATCTTCGAACTTCCTTGTTTAATCATTTATTAATCATTATTAAATTTATTAATCATTATAATTAATCATTATAAAAAACTCAAAACATATTTTTAAATATTTAAAAACTCTACTCTTACAGATTTAATTCATCCCTTTCCATTCCCATCACATTCACCATAATAAATTTGATGTTTTCCTCGCCTGCATCAACAGACTATTCCAGATTCCTATGCCAGTTATAGATTTGAAATATGAAGCCAATATCATTCTAACCATTGCGTTTATTAATGGTTATGATCTTCTGTCCAACAATAAATTTATCGGCCAAAAAGGTGTAAAAATGATTTTGAATAAAGTTTTTTCTCAACATTGCCCTACAGAACGAAAGAAATTTATTTACATTCCCTACATAGGCTCAGTATCTAAACGTATAGGCGAATGCTTTACTAAACACAATATTTCAGTAGCTTACACATCTATAAACTCTCTCCAATCTTTATTTCCTTGTACCAGTGACCGCGGGATTGAATATTTGTGAGGCGTCAGGAGAATTGTTAAGTGCTAAGAAGTTGCACTAAGAAGAAGTGAACTAAGAAGTTGTGGTAGCTGCACGAGTGAGAGTGCGCCGTAAAGAACGCCGTCGTCAAACACACGTGAGAACTTTGCAATACGCGTCAGGGTGCTGCGCGAGAAGAGCGGTGAAGAAAGAAGAGGCGATTATCTCATTCAGTTCTTCTCAAAATTTATATTCAGGTAACTCGAGGTAAATAATTATGTGAATGAACTTCAATTTTTACAATCCGGTTCCTTTCATCGTTAGCGAAAACGTAAAAAAAACAAGAAAAATACTTGATGATGCAGTCTGAGAACTTCCTACTGAAAGGAATAAAGGCTTCTAATAAGTTTAGCACACAATGGCGAAGATAAACTGATTTATGTCGGCCGGAACTTCTTTCTTACGATGCAATGATGACTATACTCAATTGTAATAGTTCACGGAAGGGCACTGAAACAATGGCACTGTGCCGTTGCCATATGGCAATTCTAGGTGCTAAAGGTTTACAGATGTAGAAGGGATTCCGAATATATTTTTAACTTTTCCAATTTCAAAAATTTCAGAGATTTTAATAAAACTTAATAAATCATTAAGTTAATATGAAATAATAAAAGTTAATAAATAATAGTAAGAAAAATTTAAATCAGACTTAGAAATGCAATTTTCTCTAAACAAGCAAACACTTTAAATAAAAGTGTAATGCTTTTGAGAAAGATTTGGAAATATCCTAGGGTGATAATGTGAAATACCATTAAATATTAAAATATCCGTCAGGTTGTGGCCAGATCCATGGGGAGTATCCACAACGAACAAAATCCAGCAAGAGGTTTATGCGTTTGTGTTAACGACCAACAGACAATCGGATTGTCCAACAAATATTTCAGTAAAAAACGTTTTTTTAGTATCAAGAAACCTCACATAAGAGGATTCTGACGACAGTACAAAATGCAGAAAGTAATTTACAACATATATTTTGGAGCACAAAATGTCAAAATCAATGCTCACGGAAATGTCATTTTTTAGTCGAAAAAACCGGCATCGCCTTTGGGTAAAATTTTACATTCAATATTTTAGATATTTGAAGTTGTGTAATCAATTTCTAACAATTCAAACGTTTTAAAAAAAATAGATTCTGTACCAATAATATATGCGTGTGATCAGTATAAAGAGTTTCTCTTTTCGACCCAGCAAAATTAAAAAAAGTCTAGAAGCTGCCTGTAAATTCTATTTGCCTAAAAAATTAAAATACCTGTTTGACGTGGTGCCTCGAATGCTACTACTTCAGTCGAAGAATGTCCATTTTGAAGGAACTTACCAGAACAAGCTTACGCATTAGGGTTCTTCATGGACGGAAAACATTTTGGGAAAATACTCTGTTTCGGTGTCAACGGCACTCAAAACGTTTTCACTGATATATGAATTGCGAGAATTTATACTACTTTACAAATGCAAAAAAATCACTTTTACAGTATCAAAGGTTAAAAAAACTGAATTTCTTTCAAAATATCAGCTTCAATTTTGTTTATTGCAACATTACTATGCCTTCTCTATTCTACGAATCGGAACACACACACACACGTATACACATACGCACACACACAACCGCTACTACTGATCGGCTGGCTTCCTGCCGACTAGCTATGGACACAGGAGCGTTTTCAGCAGCTGGTTGCCTCAGGTCGAGGGCGGACCACTTTTTGGGCGCCATTTCTTTTTCTTTTACTCTTGCTCCCTTCACTGCGGGCGCTATCGCCATCGAACTCCTCAATGGGGGCAAGGTTCCCTTATTGAATGAACGCATCAGCCGATTTCTTTTATTATACCATTAATGGCGTTGGTTGCGAGTTTCTTGGCAGTGTTTACATTAAACATACGTACACAAAAAAGTAATTGCAGTACACTGTTGCTACCCTATACTGGCCTATAGGCTGAGCAAACACATAATTTCATTGAACTTATACTATAATTTCCTCACTAATTCTATTAGTTCATTTTATTTCAAAGTAATTACGTCAAATGTCATCTACAATTTGTATTATGAAACGTATGTCGGGTTCGTATATGTTGTGAGCTTTTACATAAACATTACGAATAATATTTTAATTATCATAATTTTAATTGCAAAAACAATATTGTATTCATAATTATAAAAGCAAAATAAATATTATTTTTTGTTTATTCATAAAGGTGTATTAAGTTCACGGCTCTTTCCAGATTCTGCTTTCTATCGCAATTTCCTAATTTCTTCAGCTAGTAGCACGGTTGCAAACAATTTTCTCACTTCTAATTTTATTACACGATTACTGAGAATGTGTAAAAGTTATGTTAAATGATAATGGTAAAATAGATTATTAAGGTATCTGTGATATTTCAGCTCTCAGGTGCAAATATCTCTTTACAATTCTGGTTGAAACAGCTCCTTACTTGTTATAAAACCTCATATTATAAGTGAAATTTTTATATTTTTGCATGGCCAATAAATAATGTGCCGTATAATTGATCGTTGAGTTGAATGGCCAATACATAGTATGCTTAGCAACAATCCATCTCTATCTGTCCTTCAAATCCAATCCCACATGTAGAAATACAGTGGCTGTTCTCTGTGCATCTCGAATAGTTTCTTATAATTTTGTTACTCAGATTTACATTGTAGAATACAGTGTATATTCTACAATATTTATATTGTACTCTGAATCAATGACGTAGTTAGATAATTGAGTTGACAGGTTCTTGAATCTCTTTGACCTGAAAGGTTAATCGTCTAACTGGAAGGTCTTCAGCGGAACTAACAAATCGATTCATACGTCACTATCTAAATAACATGAACGACGAGTGGGGGGTCACAAACAATAACGCACCTGGTGGGCACCAAGAGAACCGCGAGGTCGGCGTAAGGAAGCAGAGGGGGCGGGGAAGGCAGGCCCTGAAGAGGACGCGAGGGCAGCGCGCAATGGCAGAAGGTCTGTGAGTGTCTAGGACTGCACTTCGCACGGCTGAACTGCGGCAACTGGGAAGATGGCTGCCATGTGGTACAAGCTGCAGGGCGCTTACAGAGTCTTCAACTACGAATGGGCAGGTACGACAACTGGGTAGGGGAGGCTCGTGGTGGACAGGTCAGAGCACTTGCATGCCTTTGAAGTGACAGGGTAGCAAATCTTAGTCGGTTTATGTCGTCGAAGAAGCTTTGCAGTACGTTTACTCCGTGTTGCTGTTACATCTATCTCTCACCATTGCTGCAACATTACTCATACCTTACCATTCCATTTATGCCACTTATCCTCATCCATCAATCCACTTATCTCAACCTAACCGATATTTAACATAATAAGGAATAATGTTCTATCCGTATGTTGTAATACATTGGAAACTTCCACAATCGATAATTTCGACATTAGTAATACGTATACTGTATACCTAAAAATTTAAGTTGAGCACCTGCACTTAGGTACAGAAATGTCAACGTCACGTACACATCAGAACTGCATGAAACAAAATGTATTTGCTTAATTGCAAGTTTTTTTAACTGCATACAATATGAGTGTCTTTTGACTTGATCTTTGTGAAGATACACGTGCACACTCTATTGTTTGTGGCCCAGCTTACATAGGTCGTCCTTACATAGCACGACGAAGTGTGCGAATGGCTGATCGGGCCGTGTTTTGCACGCCCACACCACGCAGACTGCAGACGTCACGTTCCGGAACACCAATTGTTGCACTGACAGTTTCATCTCGCTGCATTTTTTCTTTCTCATACTTAATAGCGTAAGAAGAGAAAGTATTGCGCCGGAAAACTGCATATTGTCGACACAACTCTTATTGCTGGGCCCTGGTAAGGAAAATGTGGATGATTCCAGTTGCTTAATATAGAAAAGAAGTTCCTCTAACACGTGATGTAGTCAGAATCCATGTTTTGTGCGTCCTTCATACCAAAAAATTCATTGGAGGCAAAATGTGTGTCTGTTCATCCGTCCGTCTGTGCACTACCGCATAAACCGTTGAGCCAATTTTCTTCAAAATTGATATTCTCAATAGTTCTAACTGATGATGCGGACTTTGGACGTTGAAACCTATATTTTAATTTTCGGGGGAAACTTAACATGAGGCCCCTGGGTCATTTTTAAAATTTCAAAAAAAAGAGCTCCGAATTGTTTGATTAAGCTTTGTTTTTGAATAATGCAAAAGACGTTTAAGAGAATGATGCAGGTGCCATTTTCGTTGACATACCCGATTTTTCGAAAAATAAAAAAAAATTCAAAATTTCAAAGTTTGGGGAATATTATTTTTGTCTCAGATAAAGTCTGTTGTAAAACATCAGCTCTTTAAAAAAGGCCAGGTACAATATTTTTGAAAAATCAGTAGTTTTTGCGTTATTTGCGATTGAAATGTACAATTTGTAATCAATAACATCTCCAATTTTTTTCTTTAAATTTTCTACACTTATGTAATAATAGACGATAGAAATATGGTGCTAGTTATATTTTCGGATATTCTACAGATTTTTGAAAATTAAAAAAAAATAAAAGTACAAAATTGAAGGTAGAGATTTTGTCCGTCGTAAAAAACTAAGCTCTTCAAAAAATGTCGTATACAATTTCTTGAAAAAACAAGTAGTTTTGCCTATTTTGCGATTGAAAATTATAGTTCTTTTTCTCAGAAACTGCTTCAATTTTTTCTTTAAATTGTCTGCACAAATGTAATAAGGAACGGTAAGAAATATGATAGAAGTCTAATTTTCTGGTATTGCACGATTTTTTTCGAAAATTGTAAAAATCTTTTCAAAGTTATAAAATTGAAGACAATGTTTGTACAAAATTGGCTCTTCAAAAAACATCATGAACAATGTTTTAAAAAAACGTGTAGTTTTGCCTAATTTCTGCTTGAAATTAATAAAATATATACAGCTTTCCCACTAACTGCGGGTCATGAGAAAAATTGAATGAAAGATATGAAAATTAATATAATTTTAATCACATTTTTCCTATTGAAAATTCCAATATTAAGTCTATTTTTGCTTACTCTTAATTTTACTTTACTTAAGTCTACAATTTGCATTCTCAATGTATTGATGCACGAGTACATAAAGTTGACGGTCTGCCGACGGTATAATAGCTTTCATAGTTATTTCATACTGGAGGCAAATACTTCTTAAAGTGCTGTATTATTTAGACCATCATTCATAAAATTATAATGCTGTCCAATTTAAGATACCATACAACTGTGGAGTGCAAGCAACACCACCTAGAAACTGTATACCTAATTGTTAGCATTTCTAGGTGATAATTTATTAATTGATTTAATTAATAAGACGGTCAATATTTAGATGTTTGATATTACAATGAACTGGTTTAATTATTAAGATGGTAATTATCAAATAATTAATTCAAGAAGTAATATCCAGGTGATTAATTTGGAATATTTATTAGTTTAAGCGTTTTTGTTTTCAAGACCTACAGACCATTCTAATTTATACGATTTACAAGATTTATCTTGAATACGCGCTCAGTGTTGCCGGCCATACACTCTTAATTTTAATATACAAAATAAAAATACTCTATTACATCACTTATTATTGTTTGTTAATTGTCTATTTAGTTGTTATTTATTTTTCGCGTCTATTAATTAGAGACAATCATTGGATATATTAAATCAGAAACGCGTATCTTAAAAACGTATGTATTCTGATTCCATTAAAATGATTTTTTCCACGTGTACTACTTTTCGCAATATGCCGTATCGCTTTCTCTGGTATATTCCATGTCAATGCAGTTGTCGGTTCATGTTCAGACATGTTGTAACCCAATCAATAATGTTAACATTAACATTCATAGTGGAATACATTCATTATGACATTCATAATAATATTCATAATGTGATATATTGGATGGCATTTATTTCTGAATGTTCCATTAATTTGTGAAATTATCCTTGCTTCTCTGTTCGACGTGCTGGAAATAAAAAATGTTTATAATAGTTTTCGTTCGTTTGAAATTGATTTTTTTTCATTTGAATTTGATTTGAAATTCATGTTTTATCTCATTCGAAGGCCGGCTTCAAATTATAAAAAAATCAGAATTATTATTTTTTCAGCCCCTCTCGACTTCCATAAACTTTCTTCTACTTTAATGATAATCTATTTATTAACGCTTTTGGCTCTCAGTCAGGATGGAATTTTTTTGGACGTGTTTCTGGAGGGAACCTACTAATTATTCGATAAAAGCGCAATTTATCTCCTAGTGTTGACGCACATAGAAAGTAGACTCTTTCCAATTTTCTGGTTGCGTTTAGGATTAATATATTCCTTGGCAAACCAATGACAACCTGATATTGCGTGATGAAATCCAGATCAAGAATGAGTGGATATAAACATTTTTCTCTTACAATGGCAACCACATCGTACCGTTTTGCTCATATTTCCACTTCTAAGAAATCTGGTATGGTTATTTGCCTCTACGTTTTGCGAGCCACTCTGACTATTATCAGCTTAGTAAGTGGGAGTGTAAACACGTCCGTTCTATCACCTGAATGAGCACGAGGACAAAGGGAAGAAGTCAAAGTCGATTTCGAAAGTCAAAAGTTCAAAGTCGAAAGTCAAATTTGATTTTATTTTGAAAAATTGTTTTTTTAAAGCTAGGCAAATTGTACTGTGAAGAATGAAATCATATCGAAGCAGTCTTTAGGCTATAAATTTCAAGCTGTACCGTGGAGGAAGGGATGAAGTCACTGACATGTTCTGTTTCTTTTCAGTACTACAATTTTCGTTTGAAATGTTTGCAATGCGTATCGCCCAATTTTTCCAAGGTCATCGGTAGAACGTTCTTTAGCAAGTTTTGTATAGCTATGGGAAAATGTCGAATCAGAAAGAACACCATCTCTTCTTGCGGCTTAGGCGGTGTACAAAGCCTTAAACACAGACTGTTTTTTCTGTAGCATAGTTGTCCATGCTTACGGTTTCCTTTCTCCATATTCCATACAACAAACCGATTTTGAAGTTTACTTGCATTTCTTGACTCCAGTAACACGCGAAAAAATGGTTTTAAATTCTTTCATATTCGTAGGGAGTTTCTTTTAAGTGTTACCTCATATTGTACTCCTTGCAACATTTGGTAATCCAATCTAACTTTCTTCGGGAATACTATGTAATTGGGATACATTCTTCCTTTACCTTCATCAGGGATCGCATTTCGTAGCGCACTATACAATAAGTTTGATGAGTACAGTTTTAACTTGATGCGGTATCACTTCTTTGACAAGAGATACATTATCTGTCTTGGATATCACATGAGCTTCATGTGTTCAGTATATTTCTTTAATTAGTTTCAACTTCTACTATCCGAACGCCTACATTATTTTAATTTGTCAAGCACCGTACAATGTTGTTGGCCTACTTCGGAGATTACTTTTTCTTGCAATTGTTTCATGCAAATCTCATCTTTTTGCCTTTTATTTACTAAAACAATTATTCCCTCCTGTTTTACTTTTCCCGTGATCTTGATTTTCACTCTACTCGGATGTCAGACTGCAATTCTTGTTTCTTTTGATCAACGTTTTCAGATTAAATTGACTACGTAACTGCTTCTAATATGAAGTCTTTTCCCAAATCCACCAATTTTTTACTCGGAGATGTCACGCTGAATTAATTTATAATATATGTTGTCATGTAATTGAGAAGTAATATGTTCACATTTCAATTGCAAATTTTCATTCCTTTGAGTAGCAACAGTTTGTAATTTACCTTGTAACTGAGAAGAAGTAATGGATATTTTTTCTCCTAGCTGAGAAATAGTAATTAATAACTGCGATTCATTTATTTTAAGCGTTTGTGACTGTCATTTAGAATCCATTTAATTCATTAAATTCCCCGTTAAAGCAGGCATTAAATCATTATCTTGTATAATCTGTTCAATCGTAGTTCCATACGAGGGTTGGGATGTCTGTAGTGATTCCTAAGTGATTCCCAAAACAGCTGCTTCCTGTGGAAAATCGTCTCCTACCGTGGCTCCCTCTGCCTTTGTTTCCCCTCATCTTCGGTAGACTCCATTTCAGTTAGATTCCTAGCAACGTTTTATTTGTCTGCTATTATAATCAGTTAACATCACATATAAAATTTGAAGAATAGTAAATTTTCCCAACATTTTGAAGCTTTGAATGTTGGGTTTATTGTGAAAAGTTTAGGCCGTTCACCGCTACTGCGGCGGTCGCGCGAGCATTCAAAAAGCCCATGCCTCTACCTCACGTATACGTCACGATGTGATATTTCACATGTGATATTCGGACCCCCTGCAAGTGGTGCTATGAAACAAAATAAAGAATACTTTACAAATACACGAAGCTTCTGCTGGAAAGAATTGGCTAAAGGCGTTCTTGAAGGACACGCACGTCTGACTATCCGGACCCGAGAAAAACTTTTGGTAAACAGAGCTTTGTCTCTGGTTTTACCAAGGAGAGAGTTTATTCGTTCTTTAAATTTCTGAATGATGATGCTCGCTTTTTTTAAGTTTTATCTTGACATAATATTTAATTATTATAAGACCGTCGTTTCAATTGTGCAGGACAGAAGTAACAAGGTCATATGTCTAGGAGGAAACAAGTGTTCATCGAAAAGTCGATTACTTGTTAGTGCCCCTTGCCTCTGATTCGGGGCTAAGTTATCGGGTGAAGGAGCCTTGAACATCAAGTTCTAACCTAACTATATAATCATTTACGTTGGCACTGAACGATTTAGCAAGTAATATCAATTCAAGGTATCTTATCCACTCACCCCAAAATAAGTTGACACTGATATGATGTGTTTTGATGTTATGTATTTAGTCAAAAAACAGTAACTATGTGACGTATGGCGGAGAAAACTTATGATGATGTAAAGAATGAAGATCCAGATGGAAAGAGTTACTTCTGGAGTAATGGTTTTAGAGAACCATTTAAAGTACACTTTTTTTGCTTGGAATAAAACGAAATAATGAAATAATGAAAATTAGTTAATTGTTTGAAATAGCCGGCGCCGACGAAAAATTTGGTCTCAAAAAAATCAATTTTTCACAGTTGTAACCGCTGCGGTTGTTTTAATTAAGCAACATGCAACATCCCGGTAGCACATATCACTATTTGAATCAATACTGAAAAACTCATTTTCCTGACATTTGCACCATATACTCGTAAAGATGATTTCTACCTCAGCCAAAACTAATTTTCATTTATGAGACACCCATTGTATTTATAAAGTTCTTTCCCACTCACAAACAAAGGAAATTGTCATTCTTGTCTTTCACGTCAACATGCATTAATTCACTTCCACAATTGTGAATTCCTCGTAAACATTTTTAATGCGTTACCTAAAACGTTTTGGCGAGTATAACCTTTCCACCTGGATAAATACGTGTTTCATGTGTATATTTGCGAAACGTAGTGAATATTTGTCCTTGTAAAGAGAGACAACTTCGATACTGTAATTTCGAAAATACCAATAAGTGTTATAAAACTTTAATCTTCAATTAAATATGTGCAGTCAGGAAGATATTAACTTAGGCCAAAACTGAGGCCAATTTCTTGTAAAATATGATAGAAGACGCGACTTGTGTGCTCACATGTGTATTGTATCGTTATTCTTGTGCGTGCATGGCTGATAGCAAAATTAAACTAGAGGTGCTACAAATGGCACAGACACTCTTATTTGTCTTTTTTGTCTGGGAAAGATATTTGGACTTGGCTCATACTCTTACATGCTGCCATCTATTGCCGCATAAAGTACTTTTTTTTCAATCCTTTCGTTTTCTAATGACAGAACCGAAATATTTCTTTAAGAATATTAAAGGAGAGTAAAACTTCGTTCTAAAAGTGAATTTCCTTTAAAAAATGTGGAGATTTTCGAGAAAATGGTGTTTAAGGCTGTAAATGCGAAATTTGAAGCTTTTTCACAAAAATTTTATGAATTTTTGAAAAATTTCATTTTAATTTCTTTGATGCACTTTCGCTCAAAAACGCATTATTGTTTGCAAATCACTAGAAATGTGAATATTAACTGGGCGAGAAATACGAAAAAAATTAATTTGTGTAATTTTCTAAAAAACAAAAACAAAAAAAGGAACTATATGGCATATTAAACAGTGCGATTAGCACTATCCGTTGGATAAAAATGGGAGCAATGTTTTTGAAAATGAGTTTGGGCGTTTCTGAAAATATGGTATTTTGTGCTCATTTTCACAGAAAACTGGGACGTTTTCGAGAAACTGTATATCATCAATTAAAGCAAAAACACTCGTTCATGCAATATCCGCTAATTATGAAATTGCCGCTAATGTAAATATTGATGACGTGAGAAGCTAGTCAAAAAATATTTTGTAATTTTAGAAAAAGAATAGATCAATATGGCGTTTATGTCATCTCATTGAGTACATTTATCACCATTTCTACTAAAAGTTTAAAGAAAAAAATGACGCTGTATTCGTGAAAATCTGTTTTCGTTATTTTTTAACATTGCACCCAATATTGCGAGAAAACTACTAAAAGTTTCAAAAAATGTACATTATCTCTTTGAAAGAACTAAGTATGGAGAACAAATTTCATTTAAAGGATTTTCCAAACTTCCTTCTTAAGACGAGTCAAGAGAAGTTTCAAGAAAGTGAGTACCGTCCAAACTCGTTAATGCCACAATACATCGAATAGTGAGAATAACGAATAAACCGATGTCCTAGTAGGCCCTTGTAGGGTATGCTCATCCAAATGTATCACGTGATAATAAATAAACTGACCGAATCAGATCGTATACTGTTTCTTCTGCTGTCTTCACCAGTCGCATAATCATCAAATTGCATTACGCTGGATATTGCATTATATTGCAGTTTCACATGTCAAAGTCGCGCTTTGGCACAATTAACAATGATCATTATTCACAATAATTGACAGATCAACAGGAAAAGCCTTCGCCTTTCACATTTCCTGTTATTCAGAACAGGAATACACTTCCAGAAAATATACCGAGTTTCAGAGAGTATACTTCACTTAATGACAGAGCACAGATTTTAGCTTTGAAATTTCCTGCACAGTGATGCTGTGGAATATTTCGCTCGCTTATTAGCGCCGTTAGAACACATTCATTCGCCTACCTCGTGTCTCTCTTGCGCTGGATGAACTCATGATACTAGGAAAGCCGAAGGGTTGAAACAGACAGGGCGCGATACTACGCAATCGATAGCAACCCATCGAAATGGAATTTCCGCGACTTTTGAAAAACGGAAAAATTTCACCAAATAAAACTAAATCTGCACACATAACCTTCACTCTAAAAAGCAATACTTGCCCCCCGTAAATATGATCGACAAACAATTACCACAAACGTAAATAGTTTAATATCTTCCTCTACACCTCGAACAAACACAAATCTGGAGAGCCCACATCTTAAAGAAACGAATGGAGCTGGACCTAACACTGAGAAAACTCTATTGGATTGAATAAATTACTAGTTTACAAGGCGATTTAAAAACCAATTTGGACTTAAGGATTGCAACTTTGGAGTTCAACTTTGGTCATTCTAATATTGAAAATTCACAAAGATTTCAATCAAACGTTCTACGATACATAACCAATGCACCGTGCTATGTATATAATAATACTCTACATTCTGATTACATATCCTATCTATTTATCAGATCATTACAGAATACAGCACACGATATGAGAACAGACTCAAAAACATCCAAATTACCGTGCAGTGAACATCCCGGACAACCGTGGAGGCATCAGGAGATTAAAACGTCACCCCCTGGATCTCAGTCATAGATACAAACTTACATACATGTAATCACTGGACGAAGTTAAATAATTCCATTTGAATCTGAGAAGTGCTGTCAAATGACCACTCTTCACTCGATATAATTCTACGGTAAAGATGACGTAAGTCCGATTTTTGCTGTTAAATATGAGTTTTCGAAAATTGCGAAATAGTGACTTCGTACAATAATAATTTTGAAGATGGATCGAGATGTCTGTGACTTTGTGAACATCTTGTATTTCATTTGTCCGCATGTATTAACCTTAAAAGTGATTTACACATTTTTTGCTTGAATTGTTCAAATTTTGATAACTAGCTTTTAGTCCCTCGCGTTGGCGCTCTTTGTACACCTCTGGAACTGTTATCAGATAACACACTATCAACAGCAATAAATGGACGGGGAATGGTTTAGGAGTATGGGGGAGGGATTTTGTATTCATTCGGAGTTTTTCTTTCATTTTTATGTTTCAAAATAAGAACATTAAATGATAGGCATAGAGAAAGAAAGACGAAGTTATAAGGCTTTCAAGGCTAAAAGAACGATGGTTGGTTGATTTGAATTATTTGAATTTAAAAGAACAGCCGATGGAAACGTTAGGGGCAGATAATATCGTCGTGTCATGTCTGAAACGTTATCCTTCTACATAAATTGGAAGGTTTGCAGAGAAAGTGGGCAATTTGGAGAATATTTCTCGTTTCAAAGTTGGGGCATTTTCTTTCGTTGGAGTGGTTATTTGGGGGAAATTCTGTAGTAGTGGTGGGGAAACAGTTCGCAACACTTTCTGGCAACCATGAATTCAACCTCGTGCCACTATGCATGTTAAATTGTTGCAGATCCCCGAGCTCAGTCTCTGCCGCTGATAACGCGCCCGTTCACGGTACTAGCGTTGGTGGTCGCGTACACTGTGTTTGTGACGCGTCTGGGCCCCTGGCTCATGCGCGACCGGAAGCCGTTTGAACTGAAGAGGACGCTCATTGTGTACAACGCTCTGCAGATCTTCGCCAACGCCTACATCTTCTATAAGGTGCGTCGCCTTTCATTGTCTCTAGATGCGGCGTCCAACACAATGTCAAGAGGAATAAAGTGTAGTTCTGTTACTGTAGACATGTCTACGAATAATTGCTACGAGCTTCATAGGCATGTAGAGGTACCGAATATGACCAGGTTTGTAAAGAAAAATTTCATAAAACTAAATTACATGTGGTATATTCTTTAGATTAGAAGACAACTCTTTTTGTTCGGCGTTGGTTTGATGCTTTGGTGTTTGGCCGTTCACGTTTTAATGCAGTCGTAAGAATTACGTGTACCTACCGAACATTGGTGCATAAGTAGTTAACTAAGAATCAGAGGCAAATGTCACGATTTTAACTTTTTTTACATGAAATTTTGCATATCCATGTTAATTGGCAAATATTAAATCATTTTCGATCCATTTACATTAATTCTTGTCCCCCAGCATAAACCCCCAATTCAAAAACATTTTTCAATAATGAAAAGAGAAAGTCACTACAAACTTTCACTTATAACAGCCTTTATACTCCCTAGGTTTGCCTTGTCTAGTTAATTTTTAAATTCAACAAAATGCTTAGCAAAGTCTCGTCTTTTCAACACTTCAGTTGTACTCACTTAAATGATTCAGGCAAGGTGATAGAGAAATAAATTATCCTTTAGGTACTTACCGTGCAAGCGTGGAGTGGTAACCTTCCTCGAAACGCTAACCCGGATGGCGAGGTCAGCCGCTGTCACGGAACTCTGCACCAACGACGAAAGACATCCGGTATCTACCTTAGCCCCGCACTCAGGCCCGAAAACTGCTTCCAAGCGAAGCCACAGAGCCCGCCTGCTAGCCCGATAACTACCAGCCCTCTCAGCCAGCGGTGCCGACCGCCGTATAAAATGCCCTCTGGCGACGGGGTGGTGAGAGACTAGCGATCCGCGCGGCACCAACGGAACACTACGCCTCCTTACCATTCACACTACAGCACCGTTCGGCTAAATGTGACCAAAAGTAAATGCCCATGTATTTCAATTATCTCGTGAGTATGACTAAAACAGTAACGTATGAAGTAGACGTTTTAAATAACTTTTAAGGAATGAAATAGTTTAAATCTAATGAATGATGTACATTGAAAGTGAAAAGTGGAATCAAGAAGAAAAACAGTATTTCTTTACTTTTCATTAAAGTATCTAGAAAGGTAAGTAATGTAAGTAGTAAATTAGGGTATCTATGTAATAATGTTTCTCTTGTGCTCATGAAAGACTTTTCGACTTTCCTTTCTGTGTCTTTTTTAAAAGTAAAAAGAAACATAACTCAGCAAATGTCTAATTCTAATCACCATTTCCAGTCTGTTTTTAACGGATGGTTGTTACTAATGTTGTTTAAATACATGATATTGAATAATTATCCAATTATACAAGTCTACAAAATTAAACTTATTAAAATCATCAGAAATTTAATACTTTTTCTAAACCAGTTTCTAACAGAGATTACGATTTTACATTCAGATTTGAGCCATCACCTATCATTGTTTTACAGTAGGGAATCCATTTATTTCATTAAAAAGTTCCATTAACAGAATCAGAAAATATGTTTTTTCCAAGAAATTTCATACCTGCTAAAGACTTGCCCAGGCATCTTATTCTTCTGGAGTCATCGTTTGGGTAATCGCGTTATCTTTTTAAATCTCTTAGATTTGGAACACCCCCAAGATTCCTTTCTTGTTTTTTGATGCAATGATGCTGGGAACTTTTCACATAAACACAGGAATGTTTCATGTGTTTATGTCATACAAGCACGGGAATGTTCCAGGTGAATGTCCTCTGTTGTCTTACCCATTGTCTTCACCAAACAATCCAAGCTTCATATGAAGAGGATGGTCAATTATCTTGGTGCCCACGTCGCTGAACCACATACTTTGCAAAATGTGTTTGGAATATTTTTACGTTTTCGATAATTACATTCAATATTAAATTTTATTATAATGTGAGAGAGAAAAGGAAAATACTATTACATAAATAATTGTCACCACACTGGCACCCTTTTCCGCAGACATAAAGAATACCAAGTTGCGAATTTGATACTGAGTAACAAATGTAATTCTGAGTGGAGAGAGAGAGAGAGAGAGAGAGAGAGAGAGAGAGTCCTGTTCAAAGAATTTGTTTGCCTCGGTTACTCTCACTAATTACAGAGTTTGTTTGCCTCAATTACTCTCACTAAGTGGTTAGAGTAATTGTGCGTAAAGCACGAGACGTGAGTTTGAATCCCGGTCGGAGTAACAATTCTTTGAACAAATTTAATATAATTCCATAAGGAGCATTTATAACATTTTTAGTTTTAACAATTACTTTTTTCTTGTATACCACATTGTTAATTTGATGAAATTTTCAGCTTGCAACTCAATTTTGGTTTACGACCTACAATTGGCGGTGCGAACCAATCGACTTTTCGAATTCACCCAGTGCCCTAGAGGTAAAATATCATAGATTTTATTAACCTTCTCTTATTATTGAAACTGTAGGACCATGTAATGTTGACCTTTATGCATACTTTCCTATTGTGTATTACGTCCTATTCTTTATTTTTTCGTACATACGTGCAGCAGAAAAGATATGGCTTATATTAATGGCTAATACTGTCTCATCCTAATTAGTTTCTCTTGACATTTATTCTGCGCCAGCTTTCTTGCTGTTTTTTTCCATCCTCTTTCCAACTGCTACCTATCAAGCGCTCCAAACATATTCTTCCCCTCATTTTTTGAATTTTTGAACCCCTAATAGTATATTAAATTATGACTAAGAATTTGACCGAAGAATAAAATATGACCCTTTATGCTTATATTGAGACATTAGGAGACATTTTAAGAAAATTTAATTCCAGCATTTTTATGTAATATTCAGCTAAATTTCACAAGAAACCTTTGATTTTTCGAGAAACTTCATAGTAAATCTTATAAAACCATTGTATTTGCTAATGCAATAAGACATATAGAAGGTCTACAGTTGAAATATTAAAGATTAAAAAAATGTAATGTAAATATAAAAGAAATGTGACTGAAACGCATTAACACCTTATTGCTTCCTACTTCTAAATACGGTAAGAACTGGAGCTAGTCTCATTTCCGGCGAACTCTGTTTTTCGAAAATTGCAAACTTTAACTTTTGAAAAGTACGAAATTAAAGACAGATTTTTGTCTTAAACAAAATGTTCTAAAAATTGAGCTCTTTTAAAACGGTCGTGAACAATGTTTTCAAAAGACAAGTAACTTTTGTGTAATTTTGGCTTGAAGTTGCAAGTTCTAAAAAAGAATTCTTTTAGAAATAATTTCAAATTTTTTCTTCTAATTTTTTTCATGGATAGAACAAGGTTCGCTTAAAACAATGGCGTAGGTAATTTTCGTTGAACTCTAAGTGTTCAGAAAATTTCAAATATAGGAATAAAGCCACAAAGTACATGCTGTTGTGGCACCACTATTTTTAAGTTTCAATTCTGACCGCTCCCTTCCGTTGCTTCAGAATTGCCGGATTTCTAGAGTTGAAGTATAAGATAATTGTAATAGTGTAATAATCCGCGAACATTAATTAAAATATAGCAAATATATTTTTGACATAAATGAAAACCAAAATTTTTGTTTTTTACATTCCAAATCATGTTTTTAAAACAAAGAATTGAATGATGCCAGAAAAATTCAATATTTTGGTGGCCACGCTAGGTTCGCGGAAGGATTTTAAGGTTCGAGCAAAATATTGAAATATAAGTAAGCGAACGTCACGCAGCCATTTTTGTGATATAAATTGATAGTGCACACAAAAACAAAGATTCTGAATGTTTAAATATCAACATGGAATGTTTTTAAAATTTCACAATATCTACAGATGGTCCGGCTGGTGAATCTTTACTTCTGGTTGAAGATTGCCGACTTATTGGACACCATATTTTTCGTTCTTCGCAAGAAAAACACCCACATCTCTTTCCTGCACTTGTATCACCACAGTAACATGGTGTTTCTCAGCTGGGGCGCGGTGAAATTTTTTGCAGGTAATATTTTAAAGACTTTCGCTATAAGACAAATCAGGCAAAGAAAAGTGTCACTAATAAAATTATTAAATTAAATTATATTTTATAAAATTAGATCGCATTTGTTGTGAAATAATTTGTAATCCCTGATGATGTATATTAACGATTTTATGCATCACACAATTAAAACAATATCTTTTCAAGTACAGAACAAATGTTACTATCTAATCAACTGCATCACCATCTTTTACTGTTTAGAAAGTAATGTACATAAAAAATGGAATCATTAACATTTAAAACTAGTATGCCGGCAAGAAAATTGCTTTCTAAATATAAGTAAATAACCCCAGCCCCCATAATATAAGTAACTTTAAAAAACCAATGGTAATTAATTAAATGGTTTTTCGCTTCTTAATACAACTTTATACGCTTACCAAAAAACAATTTTCTTTGATAATTTGTCGAAGAAACAACGAAAATTCGTTAAGAAAATTGTATTTCCAACATTTTGGAACAACAGTTCTCTGGTTGACACAAACTAGGTTTATGAAAGAATTATATTGACTGAGACAAGCAATATTATTTGAGGAAATCGATTATTGAACTCGGGCGTTCCCTTCTAATGTGGTTCCCCTCTTGCTGTCGCATACCACGGGAGGGGGGGAGGGGAGATCAACGATAGGCAAGCAGAGTGTTTGTCTTTTTTGTTTAGGGTAGTTCGGGTCGGGTCGGGCCGGGTCGGGTTGGGTTAGGTTGGCAGTTGTTGTTTCATCATTTGTAAGTTTTACAATTAAAATCTTTCCTCAATATGAGTGATATTTTTTTGTCTTTTACGGCCTATCGGGAGTTTGAAAATAATTGAAACCGTTGCCATGCGTAATCACTTCGTACGAACTTCATTGTTTTCTTTTCGCTAAGTGTGGCATAAACACGTTGCAGTCTTATTTTAGTACCTATTTCTGTTCAAAACACTTGTGCATTAGCAGCGTTGTGAATATTTAACTAGTTCTAAAAAACGTGGAAAAGACAGAGAATAAAGAAAACGTTCAATATTCACCAGCGGAAAAAATATTGCAACACTCCGATTGCATTGTACAATTAATCCCTCCACACAAATAGAATACACGAGCTTCGTACAAGGGATACGGAATGATTACATAAGCAGAGCCATGTGTGACTCACATATTCAGCTACAGAGAGAACCATGGATCGTAAACCGCGCCATCAATACTTCGTGTAGCCACCGAATGCGGTGCGGCAAGCACTGAATGGGGGTTGGCCTCCCCTGCGTAAAGGTGACGAATAGTGTCCTGCGGTACACTGTTCCACCCCTCCTGTACCAGCTCATGCAGAACAGGCAGTTATGTTGTGTGTGTCGCAGCACAGTTCAGGCGTTTGCCCGTCATGTCCCACACATGCTGAATCGGGAAGTAATTCGTCCAGGGCAGTTCACGAGCATCGCGAGAGTGTTTTGCGTGGCGCGGGCATTGTCCAGCCGGAACAGCGCAACGCCCTCCCGTTGCAAGACAGTTATCAGAGCAGGCCGCACAACGTGCTGGATGATTTAGATTTAGATTTATTCAGTAAAAAAGAACAGTAAAAACTGTATGTGACGTAGGGGAGAAAAGATCATCTGCGCACGTTTTCTTGAGTTCCAGAATCCCTTCCCGTCATTTTAACTATAAATAGTTGAAAGATGAGTAAAAGTTTAACATAAATAAATAAAAATAAATTTTAAAAATCGCAAGATTAGCAATATTTGAAAAATTTCATCATTCATATAATTTTCGTTTCTGATGTATCCAGCGCTGGTCAGTGATCCCACCACGAAAACAAAAGAACGGACGTTCCTTATCGTTTAAAATTTTCACGTGACAAAAATATTAAACCAGACTGATAAAGCTCAGTTCATGAACTCAATGAATTTCTTAAATATAACGATAAGCTTTGATGTGCTGTCGATTTCTCTAATTGTTTTGTTTTCGGTAGGAGGTCACGGGACATTTTTGGGTTTGTTCAACACGTTTGTGCATGCTTGCATGTACACATATTACCTCATTGCGGCAGTATACCCTCATAATATCTGGTGGAAGAAGTACGTGACACAGCTCCAACTGGTAAGTAGCTCTTATTATATCTACAACTGTCAGCATTAGTGTCTATCATTTAAAGGATTGCAGTCTATCCCGGCGCCTTCGGGAACGGGGCCTCTCATGTCGACAGTTTTTGTGAGTGTGGTGCAATTTCATATTAAAATTGATTTAGTTGCGCGGCTCGTCTATCATCAGAAACAGAAAGTTGCATGAAAAAGTATCGATAGTAGTACTTCAAAATACGTACGTTTCATTACATTAGGGGTCGTCCATAAATTACGTAACGCCAAAGGGGAAGTGGTTTGAGGCTACATTTCGCTGCGTTACGCAGGGTAAGGGTTAGAGGAAAGTCATAATTAAATGTTTCCAATTTTTTTCAACATTTGCTAATATATTTCCTTTAATCCAGTCTAACATTAAAAGTTTACATTTTTTACCAATTTAATTAAAAATATATATTAATTATAAAGTTATAGTATGAAACATGTTACAATAAATGGCAATATTTTTCATCAAAAATTTCATTGGATTTTTTAGATTCGGAAGAAAATATTGAAAACTGTTATAGTTGATTCTCTAACCCTGTAAATTCTCGTAATATTCGTTTGGTTTTTCAAAAATTACAAAAGTGTGTCTTTTCACGTGTCTCCCGCTTTGTTAATATTTATACTAGTGTAGATTTGTTGACATTATTATATTTACGAGTACATGCGCTTTAAATAATGACAGAAAAATATTCTCAAAAACTGAACAATTTTCAGTGAAAACAAACTCAAACATTCGCATTGTCAGAAACGCACCAACATTATTTTCCCAAAAGTCTCTCCTATTCGCCGTTCTACTATTAGGAAACCGACAACTTAAGAACATTTTTAAAAAAATGAATTTTGGGTGCAAATAGATGGTAGTTGGCAAGTGTATACGGCAAGTTCGTATAGCTAGCTAAAGGAAATAGAGAACTAATACGGGAAAGTCTATGCCATTTTATAGCAACACTAGTGATATTAATATGTATGCCGCAACGTCGTTTTTATAGTACCTGATGAAGGGAACAAGACAAGTTCCCTAAACGAGATAATAAAGAATATTTTACTTGATTTCCTAATTTCGTATTCATGATAATTTAACTCACAAAATATGCATAACAAGTTCAGTTTTCAGAATAAACAGTTTTTTCATATTAATATTTAAAAATAAGATAGTTGTGACATAAGAAACTACTTGTATTTATAAGAAAAAGAAAATACTCTTCTCCACAGGTTCAGCACACGGCGGTAGGATCGCACCTGGCGCAGCTGTTGGTGCACAACCCCTGCAACTACCCCATGTTGGTGCCGCGCGTTCTGGTGCCGCAGGCCATTTTCCTCATCCTCCTCTTCTCGCACTTCTACCAGCGCACATACGGCCGGAAGGCGGCGCAGGACACTAAAGCCAAGGCCTCCTAGAGAGGGAGCGCGGCACTAGTGAAATCTGCTGAAGCGAACTCCTGCATTCATGGACTTTCGGAGGAGCCAATTGATTTTCCCAATGATAGTGTAAAAGTGTTCCCTCTTTTAAGCCGTTACCTCGCTTTGCGGTCAACGTCCAGGTTAATTTTGAAGATAAACAGGCAATAGACAGTCGCATCTTTCTGACAAATTTGTGATTTGGATTCGTAACCACGAAAGAAGCGGATGAAGAGTACTTGCTGTTTTTTAATGAAGAATGTGCGTATAAGACAGACTTCAATATATAGTAAAGCTGATTTAAAAAGCAGTCACCACAAGTCGCTGCTTAATTAACGGGATGACGATATGGAAAGCAAACATCCGGTCTATTGTTGTTTGCAAATTAAGAAAAATTAGCTTTGGTAGTTCTCACATACCAATCAGTACTATTAAAGTACAAAATACCAGGTACTGAATAAGTGTACACTTAAAACTGCTGGTGCTACAACTTGCATATACATTGTAGTATAATTGAAGAGTAAAAGTAAGTAAAAAAGAAGTTAAAAAGCATGTGCCATTTCTGTAAAATTTACTTTTTAGCGGATTAACATGAATCAAGCCATTACGAACCGAATTCCAGGCGCAATCCTTGACAGTGTTGAGGGGTGATTATAGGGGGCAGGAGATGTATGTGCCAATACATTTAACGTATACGATTAAAGTGCCAGCGCTCCGAAGTGTCAGTTTAATGTACTAAGGGTAGCTAGACACTTGTATTAAGAGAACTGGCGTCTTGAAAACGTAATGCTTAGTGGTATTCTTGTTGTTACACTTTATACGATGTCCGAACATACTGATAATAACACATCCAAACGAAATGAAAAAAAGTGAAGGGAGAGCGTCTGATGAAAACAAGATGAGAAATGCAGAAGAATACGCCAGTTAAGTCAAGAAGCGTTGTTCCATGTAAAGAAACTCCGAAGGAACGCTCGAGCTGCAAATGAAATATCCTTATCTTACTTGCGAAGAAATCAGTTGTTCCAATACCTGTACGAGAATCAACTAGATCATAGAATGATAAAATAGAACATGGAAGCAACATAATTATTTACAAGGACTTATATCTGTAAAACATGCTAGTAAGTGAGAGTTATTAAAATGAGATGCAGCAGCTGTGGACAAACATAAGACATATTTGCAAGAGAAACTGAAACTCCACCATTCGAAAGCGAATAAAGCTAGATCATAGATGAAGATAGATTTTACAGAGAGGATCAGAGTCCCAACTCAAAGGAGCGTGTCTTTGCTATGAACCTTCAATAAATTCTTTTGTTTGACTCACTCTCAGATGTTCAACTCACAACAGCTGTCCCTTTATAATCTTCGAACACATTTCCTTGATTGCACAAGTGTGATGAATCTTTACCATGAAGCAAAATCGGACATGGAAGAGTTTCAAACAAAGTGGCGTATTCTGTTTTCCAAGTTATTAAATATGTATGCATTTCTAGAAAGTGCTAAAAGTTACTGTTTTTGTAGATATAACACGTTAATATAGACATATGACAAAATTAATCTCAAATTATGAGTCATAATGCATTGTGGTAGAAGATTTAAAACCAATGATGATGTAAAACAGAAGAACTCTTTTGCTATGAATGTCATGTTGGAAATAACTTTGTTGTCTTTAAGCAAGCTGCTGAGAAATTTCTGTGTACTAACAAACTAGAAATATCTACAGCACAATAGTTGAAAGTTTCTACTGCAACGGTTGACGTTGTCCAAGTCAAGAAAACATTCCATGCCGCTGAAAGCTGGGCTGCACTGTTTACCGCAGAGACACAACTAAGGACATAATAGTAAATTGTCATCTTCCATGTTTACCCCGCAACTCTAAACATCAACAACAGCAAAAGAAGAAATAACCTCCAGACAAACAGCATATAGTGTTTTATGAAGAACTCATTGCTAAAAGAAGTAATATTGGAGACAAACTTTCAAATCAAAGTAATGCTCTTCACAATTTTAACATTCAATGTTTATGTGATTTCAATAAATTTATAAAGAAGGGACAATATTAGGAAATTAGCAATTTTGGAACTTTTTTTGTTATTCAAGGTCACAATAACATCTAACTCATTAGCGACCACTATTTAAGGGCATTGAAACTGTGAAGATGACATGATGTAGTGATGATAGGGGTGAAAGAACGAATACAAATACAACCATTCCCGAGGCGGGACTCGAACCCGCGATCGCTTCGACACTACTGTGTTAACGATCTGCGTTACGTCAATGCGTCTACGATCTACGTTAATGCGTCTGGCACTTGGCTCGGATACAATTACAACACTTTGAGAACATTTCGTTATTGAACTAATGAAATATATTATTGTTTAAATACAGTTACTAATGTAAAAGAGGTACATATGTATCAGAAAAAATTAAGCTAATTGTTCGTCATATCGTCAAGTCAAATAAATATAAACTCATTTTCTCGAAAGTGTGTAAAAGGCATTTTCATCATATTTAATTTCAAGACTTCAATTGATACTGGTTTCTTAGTATTATAATTCTACAGGTGACCTGTCAAAATGACAGAAAGAAATCTATTTCTCCCATTAATAATTCATTGCAATGAAGAGTAGAAGACAATTCTTGGTATAGAACAGCGTGTGTATGAAAGATTAGGGTCACTCAGTAATCGCACGTACGTCCAAGAAACTCTCCCATTCCATTCCTCAGCCACTGGAGCAGGAAGCTCGGTAGTATCTCATAAAGACTGTCCTTCCGTGTGTGTTGTATTTTTGCTACACTTTATATATTTTCCTTATTTATTTGTTTCAAAAGTAATTGTGTACTATGGTATACATTTTTCGTAATAAATCTGTATCTTAGTTTATATTTTAAATTAAATGTGGATGTAGTTGAAACTAACAGTGCGTTTACACTTGAGATCATTTTGCATTTTCTTCATCGCCAACTGTGTTTAATCCCCTTGCGTGCGCCGTGACCAGGAACATTTAACCCTGTCCCCACACCTCGGGTTCCGAACCGTGCGATTGCTCGGGCGTTTGCGGGGCGCCCATTTCCTGCATGAACTGGAGGAAGGACTTGCTCAAACAGGCAAATCGAATTGCGCCATTAATTTTTTTCTCCGAATTCTAGGTTTTTCAGTTCATTGACTTGATAAAGTATTCAATACGTACATGTAATAACTGTTTTTATTTGAAATAGAAATTAACGCCCTGGAAAGATAAGTTACTTTAGTGATCACTTATGAGTCAATGCGTCCGTATGTAGAAAGATAGTGAATAAACAGACATTTTCCCTACATTTCCGATTATATATGGTTACGTATCAAAACCGCCAATTTGTCAGAAGATGCATCGGACTAAAGGGGCTCTAATATATCATATTACATGTTTTTTAAATTGAATGTTGTTTGTATTGGGTGTAAATTGTGAGTTGCGTCGTCTGTGAAGTGTGTGCAAACTTGGACATAGATCGGCTTGGGTGGATGATCGGATGTAGGAGGCTTCGGCTGAAGAAAGAAAAAGATCGAGAGATGACATTTTGGTTGTATGTTGAACTGACAAATCCTTTAGCAGTAAGAGAATTTTCGTGGAATGTATATAGTATTTGAGAAAGGAGGTGAGACAATTAAACGTGTGGAATCTGAAAGTAACTTCAATGAGTGAAATTTAGTGCTGAAGTCGTAATAATGTGAGGGAGGAGCTTGCGTGATCTGGGAAAGAGCAATAGCAAAAGAGATGAAGCTAAGTCATGCATGCATTAGTATTAAAAAGTGATGGTTAAAACAGTGTTACTATTTCAAAAGCCTAGAGTGGGGTGGGTAAATTGTTTGTGAACAATGTTGTTTCTAGTTCTTTTGTTCAGTTTTTATTATTAATGTCTAGAACTAATTTACATAATTTTATTTGTTCAACATAGAAACTCGTTCAGATATTCATTTTTAAGTAATAATAATTTCATCTAGCAATGATGGAACATTATTTTCTCATTAATATACAATGTTATTCGTATGGAGACATTTAAAAGGTACTAAATCATGTCCTGGGAAATTGTGAATCACAAGCTATGTGGTGTATCGAGAGGGAGTCGGGCAAATTTATTGTATAATGCTTCCGTACGTCACAGTACCGACCACTGAGGGGGACAGGTGGCTGTTTAAAAGAGGAAATATTTTCGCGATTTGTGTGAAAATCAATGGGTTTCCAAAAAGAGGCCAAAGATGCAGCTGGCATTACTATCAAGGTGGCCGTTTCATCAGATTTTACTGTTCTTTCAATCATTTTTGAACCTTGCTGAGCGTAAATTGAATAACATCCTGTGCTAAAAGAAAGCGGTTTTAATTTGCTTTTGCCAATAATATCCTTCGATATTGAACAAATCCTTGAAACGAAAACTTCAGTATCCCTTTTGTACTGAAAGAATTAAAACATGCGCTTTTACACACGCTGCCAGACAATGTACGCTAGGTGAAGCACGAAACTAGAGACCACTTGTCTCTCTTGAGCATTAGAAAAAAATGGGTAGTTGAAAGAATGACATTCGTGCAGTGGTGTCAAGGTATTAATTGACCTTGGGACTCGGGTGGTTGGAACGGTTTCACAGTGAAATCTCCGCTCCATGCAATGGACTACCTCGCCAGAAGTGTCGACTAATGAAAATAATTGCGGAACCTACTTGTGATATAGGATTAAGTGCGTGTTAGAAATACCAATTGAAGTACGTTTGTTATAATTCTATTTATTAATGTTTACTTTTTATTTTTCCTTCACTTCCTCTTATTGAAGATTAAAATTATTCATACCTTTTGATGATTAAGCAGAATTCTGCACCATCATCACCAAAGGAAAACTGAAGATGGGTTTTTTTGCTTCCTTCCAAGCCTGTAACCCTCACGAGTTCGGGGGTGATTCTTAATATAAAGTCGGCACGGTCACTAAAGGTGCATTTACACGAAGAGACAAAGTCTCCTAACTTCATGACGT